GGGACAATGGTCTGAACCCTGTCACTTGTATTTTAAATAAATGCTGATTGGTCAGTAGCCAGGTAGGAAGTACAGGCGGGGCAACCAGGCAGGAAGTAGAGAGGTGGGGCGAATTCTGGGAAGAGGAAAGTTTCAGTCACAGAGGAAGACCCAGACACAGAGGAAGCCAGACATAGAGCAAACAAGGTGTGACTGCCTCACTGAAAAAGGTACCAAGCCACACGGTTAACACAGACAAGTATTATGGGCTAATATAAGTTATGAGAGTTAATAAAAAGCCTGAGCTAAAAGGCCGATCAGTTTATAATTAATACAGACCTCTGTGTACTTCCTTGTGACTGAAGGGCTGCCTGACCAGGCAGAATCAGATGGGACAGAAACCCCTGTCAACAAATATCACCATCAAAATATGTGACAAACACTAAGAATAAATAATATAGTATTTTTAAACTTTACCAACTATAGAAGAATATACATAGGGATGCCCATTTTTTAAAGATATTCATTCAGCAATAACATATAGCAGTTACTAGTGTCATACAATATAAAAATACACTACACCACAGTTTTCTCGTTATTTAGCAACTCAACAGGTGTTCTATTTCTTGTCTGCTTAAAGAACAGGTGCAGAGTCAGCTGTACAGTATTAAGCCCCTGAAATACACTTAGAAGGCTTTGGAGGATAGAAGATTCATTCTTAAAAATCAACTGACTGGGTTGCTGTTAAAATACTATCTGTAAATAGAATCAAAAGTCCAGGCTTATCATTTAAAAAGCAAAGATCCCTCAGGGAGAATGCAACGCCAAAAATTACTAAGAATGGCATTCTTACCAGCACACTTCAGAAGCTGCTTACACCACCATGCTCTCATTAAAATACCTCACCAGCAGAGGAGTTTAGGATTAAGATTCTGTTTCAAACTCCAACTCTTTTCGTGCATACAAGTCGTTTATATCTAGTGTTTATTCAAATCTAAGTACATAGTATAAGTACACAGATAAAAAAATACCAAATTATGGAAAGTTTGACTAAAAAGCAGAGGTAACAGTATGCATTACTGAATCCAATGGAAAGACATACATGGACAAATATCAGTTCTACATTTGGAAAAGGCCAGTTCTAAAGCCATAAAATTACAGAGACACTGTTTTTATTCTGTTATAGTTGATTATATGTGGTCTTTTGGGAGGCGGTTAACTAAGCATAAGGCTCTATGAGGGCAAGGATTTTAATTCAATTCTTTATACTCAACACCTAGCCAAGACTCAGCAAGTGTATGTGAAATAAAAGGAAAACCATCCCTAAGGGATGACACATCTAAGCAATAATTTTAATCTCTTGATAACTGAGAAGACATAACACAAAGCATGCTGAACTCTACAGGTTCCATGGCTTCAGAAATGGATAAAAATATTTTAATTACTCATTAAATTAATGAAAATCATAAAACTACCCTTCCAACTATAATCTTTCTTTTTTCCTAAAAAAAATAAAAATTCAAATTCTCAGAAAAATACTATGTACAAAAACTTCCTGGAGAGAATTCTGTTCAATTAAAAATGAAAGAAAAAGAGATCATATTATATTTAGTTTCTTTTGGCTTTTTTACTTTAAACCTGAAAATGGTTAAGTTAACAGACATGTAAAAGGCTACTCCGTTAGGTTAACAACCTGACACTGAAACGATACACTTTAATTCACTGAGAAAACATTTATTCTAAAACACCCGGGAAATTCAGACACCAGCCATCTGTGTTTGCCATTTGGAAGCCAATTATAAAAATGTTAACATATGTAGTCACAGAAATAGTTGCAAGATTTACTGGAAAGATACTGTGTCCATATACATTTGTGGTGCAAAACTGTTTCAGATCCCAAGCAAGTGTCTTACTCTAACTAGAACAAGTGACTAAACAATTATGTATTCCTAAACTCAAGAATTATGATGTTATAAATGATCATTCCCAGTAACAAAGAAAAAAGAATTTTCAGAACATACTATGAGATGTGAAAATATGTTAATTTCTATAGTAACATTTTTAAAACTTTATAATCTGCTTAGCTATGTTCACTGAGAGTTGGCAAAGCTCATGAGTCAAAATATGTGTTCCTAACATGAGGGCCTTTTAATGAGGCCAAACTATTATTTCATCAGATTGTGAAAATCAAATGAAATAAAGGTTTGAGTATGATTTCTACAAATTGGACTGGTTGTGGCGATACACTTAATCCCACCACTCATGAGGCAGAGGCAGGCAGATTTCTTCAGTTTTTGGTCTATATAGTGAGTTACAGGTCAGCCTCTGTGCTTGCGTGTGTGCGTGCGTGTGTGTGCGTGTGTGCGTGTGTGTGTGTGTGTGTGTGTGTGTGTGTAAAGGCTTTAATGCTTTCTTTACATAACAATGACTGTATTACTGCTATGATAGAAACACCTGTTTGAAAACAGATGTGGTACTAGGAAAGAGCCCTTTCAGAGGCCAGATATGACAAACACACATTCTTTTAACAGTTACCTCTACTTTTACTACCAAAGCTATTCTATGTCCAGTGTTTCATCCAGCTCCTCATTACCTGGGCTTTGTTCTTCTTGGAGGTTTCACAAACCAGACTAATAACCCGTTTCTGGGTTCTTTGGTCAATGCAAATTTAAAACAGCTAATTAGGAGAAAAGGAAAATGAAAGAGACAAGGCCAGAGGACCACATCCAAACGAATGAGAACTGGCAGTAAGAACAAAGGATAAGGAAGACAAAAGGATAAGGAAGATCCACGGGGCCTGGTGGCACAGATCTACAGGTCCCAACACTCAGGAGGCACAGATCAGACCAGGAGGAGCAGGAGCTCAAGGCCAGTCTGGGATGCATGACACTGTTCCTAAGAAAACAAAAAAGGACATTCACAAATGCCTAATAATACAGAATGTCAACTCTACAATATAAGCAGTACTGGAGTAAAATACCACAGGGCAGGATCACACTAAGGTAGGAAACTTAGTTAACACTGGCACGATCTTCTGTGAGACGCTCATGACAGAGAGCACATACTTTACCATACTCTATTTGATAAGGCTTCATTATTTTTAAAAATGGTATTTGAATTTTTTTTAGCTGATATAACAGAAATATTTTAGATCTGGGGAGACGGCTTGGAATAGTAAAGGCAATACTTACACAAGCGTTTAGTGCTTTCGCTCAGATATCTTCTATGTCAGTTATTTTTGATATTTCTTACCTGCTTATTAGACATAATTATCATCTTTTATAATGTAGTTTCATAAGCCATAATTCTTAAATCTTTTTCTTGGTAAATTGATAAGTTGTTCCAATGACAATTTTCATTTATATACAGCACATAAATAAACATTTTAAAAATAGCTTGTCATGTATACATTATAGAATACATTTTATGAAATCTTTTATGCCAGCCTAAATCCTGCACAGAAGAATAAACTATAGTATATATAGAATGAAAATAATCCTACAAAGACTTTGAGTTTGGAAAATGCCCACCAATAGTGCTAGGTTTTAAGATGTTATTTCCCAAAGGTTATGTGTGTAAACGGACACATGGAGAAGTGGTGACTAATTTCAACTGTAAATATCATTGATTTAAGAAACACGTAGGGTGTTAGTGAGGTGAACCGTGTGTCTGTGAGGGTATTTTCTGAGAGTGGTAAACAAGTAGGAAAGACCCATCCTGACTGTGAGCAGCACCAACTATGAAAAATGGAGAAACAAGCTTAGAAACCAATTTTGGGAAAAGATTTTACATGTTCTTTTCTTATGCCAGCAATGGACAACTTCTCTAAGAGTTCTGAATTAAGTGATAGTCATACTTATAAAGAAGCACTACCCACTGAGGGCTCATTTCTTATTCTGTTCATTCTATAAATATTTATTGAATAATTATTATCTGTTAGATAATTTTAAGTTGTATTAACATAATAATGAGCCTCTTTATATAACGTTTCAGGAAATGAACAATATTTAAAAATTTTACCAAAATGTGAAAGATAAATCACCCTAACCTCAGATGATTGCCGCTTATGTCAAGCACAATACAGAAAAGCAGTTTAAAACAATGTGATCGTCCCCAAGTATGATTGCGAAAAACGAGGTCTTTACTTTTAGGGAGCAAGGTAAATAGGTAAGCCCAAACAGGCAACTTGAGAAAGAAATCATTATATTCCATTCATGTTGTGTCGAATTATTCATTCAGCCCACTGAAGGATACCTATGTATAATTCTTGATTGTTTATATGTCTCGCCATACACGCACGCCCACACAAAAATCAAACTCACCAAATACATAACATTTACTACATACTATCAAATACATAACATTAAATAGGAATTCTATTGGTATTATTTAATTTATAGACCCTTTTGGTGGTCAGATGTTCCATTCCACACGCTACAAAAGCTCACGTGCCATGACAAAGACCTCCAACACAAGCATACAAAAATAAATAAATAAAACGCTTCTAAAAATGCTCCTGCAGCCAAGTTCACAGCTGGCACTTGTGGCACACTCAAGTCACTGCCGAGGCAGCTGTCACAGGTCAATCACACACACCCAAGAGTGCCAGCGTGACACCTAAAGCCAGCAGGCTGGTGATCAGCATACGGTGTCCCTCAGGATAAAGAAACCCCCTAAACACTCAGTCCGAAAAGCACAAAGCCTGAACAACGGCAAAACGCCCTTTAGAAAGTGAAAGGGGCAGAGGCTGCAAAGCAATTCGTTAGCAGTTCTTAGAGGGGCTAAGGGAGGGTTCGGTGTGGCACCCGGGAGAAAGGAGCCGGGAGGTGCAGTCTCTGGTTTCCACCAGCAGTCAGGGGGGCGGCTCTCCCCAGCTCGAACCTTGCCCTCCCTCTATCCTTCCACCCCCAATCCGGCCCCCCCTCAACCTCCAGCCACCACCCCCAGCCTCCCCTCCCCCGCCCTCACCCCCGCCCCCGGACACCGCCTCCCGGAGCGGCCTGAGGCCGCCGTGCTCCTACCAAAGCCCCGCCTTGGGCGATCTTCCTCTGTCTCTCCTCGTCCTCGTCCTCCATGTCGTCTGCGGGGCAGGCAGGGAAAGGGTGGAGAGGAAAGATCTGTTCAGACGCCAGCGGACAGAGCTCCACGGGCGCACGGCCGCCCGGGGCACGCTAGGCGCTCACCGGCGACTCGTGCCGGGTTGCACTAGCCCCTCCATCACCGCCGCCATCTTCGTCTCCACGTAAACACACGGGGGTGGGCGGAGCTGGGCGGAGCGGGATGGGCTGTCTGCGCAGCCGCGAGCCTGGCCCGGCAGGTGCTCTGGCCGCGCGGCTTGCCCAGGTCGGAGGGTCACACAGCGGCCTGTCACCTGCTCCTCCGGGGAGTCGGTGCTTCAGATACACCGCGGTGCTTTTCCTAATTCAAGAGCAGCAGCTGCCTTGCAAGGAGAAGCCGCAGTGGGAGGTGCGGTGGCCAGGGCGAGACCCGCCTAGCAATCGTCTATCAGCCCAGGTGAACCGGGATCTGGGCGGGTTCTCTAGTCTGCTTTACCAACCCCCAATCCCTCCTAGTCCCCACCGGTTCCCGCCCACCCAAGGTCTCCTTCAAAGCTAGCAGGAAGAACAGTTACTGCCTCCACAGGCTTTTCGCTGCTCTTTGTTCCTGAAGAGAAGAGACACTTCTCCTGGGGGCTTCTCCTTAGCAACCCTGCTCCTAAAGGAGCTTGATTTCAGGATTTGTGTTGAGAACAAACCCCTTCTACACTAACTTTCCAGCATTAATGACCTTAAAACATCTCGTTCTTCTTTCCTGTTTCTTCAATTCTATCCCAAGCATTCAAAGCTGATGCCTGGAATAAAGCCAGGTTTTGTCCACCATATAGGGATTGCTTTTCTATGTTAATTAATATCTCCTTCTCCAAGAAGTTGATCTTGGGAGATGTCCATACCTCTAGCCCTACTCCTTTGTTTAATGGTCTTAGTCTCTTGTTTCCACCAGGTCCTCCCCTGTAATTGTGGATCAAGCAACAAGACTGCTGTAACCAAGTCTTTCCACTCTTGAGAGATAATTTCATTACAAGTTGATCATGAGTTTAACATCTGCTTCATAAATCGTGAATGAATACTATATGATAGTTTCATTTCCTTTAATCTCCTTAAATGTAACGTTTGCCCAGGAGTTCATTCGGCTCTTACAGAGCCTTCGGGATATCTGTCAATTGGCAATTCCTGTAAGGTTGCTAGATATATTAAGGTTGGTTGTTTGAAAGACTTGGGCTATTCCCCTCTACCTTTATAATGCAATGCAGAAGTTAGTCCTCCTCTAAATTCCTCTATCTGAATTTAAATGTCTCTATGATCTGTTTTAATAAACTTTTCTAAGGCACTCATATTAACCAAATATTTTAGAGATGAAGCAAGAATTATCAAGATGATCATTGACATTATGTCAGTCCCAGTTAAGTTGATTTTCACTTCATTTAATTGTTCCATTTTTAAATAACTCATTGCATAATCATACAGAGACCGAACTCTCTCCATCAGCATAGTGTTCCCCATTTTTAACACGGGAAAAACTCTCTGTTTTAACTAATCCCTTCCTTTAAGAATTCCCAATTTTCTCACCAAATTTGCCACTGCTGACGATGAAGATGTAAGGCTCAGTGCTTCTGCACAGAACAGTAGATGCCTGACTGGATTTCAAGGCAGCTGTTTAGTTTGGCAGCAGCCTGAAAAGGGGGTCCAGGGTGAGCACACCAGGAGATAAGAAAGGAAAATCCAGCCATCAGGGGGTGACTCTGGCTGCCTGTAGCTCTGGCCTCTTAAAGCCAGTGGCTTTAAGGTTACAGGAACAAAAAGAATTTTTTTTGTGAATTCGTGTTCCAAAAGTTGGGTGCCAGATGTAGCACAAATTCTAACTGGTCTTAGTAATATAATAAAAACCCAGAGTCGGATATAGGGGTTAATACTGAAAGATCAGAGAAGCAGAGCAGCCAGCCACTAGAGAGTTCTTACCTCTACCAATGCTCTACCAATGCTCAGACCAATGAGGGTATCCTTTCTCTAAGAATCCTCAGACTGACAGTCTAGGAAATCTCAGGCTGCTTTGAGCTCCTGTCTCCTTCCACCTTATATTCCTATCTCTCCCAGCCATATCACTCCAATCTCCCCTAGTGCTGGGATTAAAGCCTGTTTCTCTTTTAGGCAGATTCAATCTCCTGTACCCCAGGGTGGCCTTGCACTCTCAGAGATCCATCTGCTTCTGGGCAGATTAAAGGTGTGTGCCACCACTGCCTGGCATCTAAGGCTAACTAGTTGCTTAGCTCTGCTGTTTGGTCTTCAGGCAAGCTTCATTTGTTAGATCACAAACAATATAACTACAGGTGTGTGGGGTTTTTTTTTCATCTTTTAAGGAATCTAATGAATATATATTACAAATACTACGTGGCATTTTAAAAACAAGCAAAACAATATAAAATATTTATCCCTACACACTTTCATCTTAGAGACTAGGAATATAAATTACCATTGTGAAAGTCTACAAAACATTTTTGTTTCCAAAAGCCAAAATTAAAATAAAAAACAACCTCTTTTAAAAAAGAAACAAATGAATCCAACTGTATATCAATATAATTACACTGAGGAAAAAATGAAGACATGATAGAATTTTTTGAAAAATATTTGATTGAATCAAAAGAAACAATAGATATGAATAGTACATATGAATGGATGTTAAAACCATCAGTTACAAAACTGATAGGGAAATTTATAAGAAAAAGGTAAGACTATTATTGCATCTGAGCCCCCTGGTCAGATTCACCATCAACCGGAAGTATCCTCACTACTGACACAATACAAACTGCAAACTACAGCAGCACCATGTACATAGTTTTCATGCCTTAAGACTGAACTGGGCTGGACATGATGGTACAGCCTGGAACCCAGACACTAAGAGACGGAGGCGGGAGTACCATCAATTCTAGCCAGCATATGTAACAAGACCCTGGCCACAAAAGATACTGGAATATAGTAAGCCAAATTGTAATATAATTATATAGGAAAACTAGGTGGTATAATTCTAAGCTAAATAATACTTGGCTGGAGAAATGGCTCATTGGTAAAGTTATTTATCTGACAAGTGTGACAATTGGAATTTAATCCTCTAAACTTACATAATGGGGGAAGGGGAGAATTGATGCCACAAAGTTAGCCCCTCACCTCCACATGAACACAGCTGCATGTGCACTCTCCATGTCATGAACACACACTCACCACTTATACACACATCATGTACATACGTACATAAAAACAGTAAATTTTAAAAATTCCATATGATCACAGTAATCAAATCTGAAGTGCGAGACTCATTGGCTACATGACTATCATTTGTTATGCTTTTTTTCTAGCAGAAGGAGTTAAGAGACAGTCCTGAATGAAAAAGAAAAATATATGTTATATATTATTGAATTAATATATATTAAATATTAGAAAGAATACAAATATATCTTATAAGCATATTTTAGAATATATTCAAAATGGATTCTATTTAGATGTTTTTAAATTCCTGATATAAACATATATTTAAATGAGGTTTGTGGATATAACTAAAATTTGGTCCTAACAACTAAAAAAAGAAGAAGAAGAAGAAGAAGAAAAAGAAGAAGAAGAAGAAGAAGAAGAAGAAGAAGAAGAAGAAGAAGAAGAAGAATCAGTCTTCCCCAGTGATGAGTTCCCTAATTGGCTATTCAAATCATGTGGTCAGCCCTAAAACATATGCATACATACAGGTCACTAGATAAACTCAACAGGTTGTATCTATATATTTATATGCATGCATACATGTAACCAAAATAAAGTAACAAAATAACAAAAAATTTAAAGAAAAAGAAGTCATGGGATTTGAGAGAGAGGGGAAATACTAGGTGGGTTAGAGGGATGAGACCAAAATTGAAAGTGATAAAAACACAGTATACAATTCTCAAAAAATTAAAAAATAAATGTTTGAAATAATGTCAGTTTTTTGAATATGTAGTAAATATTAGATGATATTATAGAATTATTATTAATTTTAATAGAATAAAACAGAAGTGGTATTTGTTGGAAGTAATTTAATTTTGATTGTTAGAGACCAATATCAAACATCATCAGTTTAGCCAGGCAGTGGTGGCACATGCCTGTAGTCCCAACTCTCTGTGAGTTCAAGACTAGCCTGTTCTACAAGAGCTAGTTCCAGGACAGGCTCCAGAGAGACCCTGTTTTGAAAAATCAAAAAGAAAAAAAAAATTAAAACATTCTTCAGCGGTTTAAAAACCATTAGTTGGGCATGTTACAAAGTAATATTGATATATTTGATATTGACATGATTTGAGCAGATATGCATAACCTATATAGTAATAAAAACAAATAGAAACCTGTATAAATGTATTTTCAATATAGTATACTATATGTATAATTAATGATTTCACAAAATTTGTTCTTATTTCTAATGTCTGTTTGATTAATGTTGCATTATTATATAGGAAGAAAAATGGGTTGCATGCTAATGAAACAAAGAATTTAGTACTAAAATTTTAATTAAAAAAATAGCTTAACTAGATCAAGTGAAAGAATATCAGGGGTGGAAGCAAAGTGATGGATTACTGCATTCTGGTAGCAATAAGGAAAAAAAATATAATTATAACATCCAGTTACACAGTGAGTTTCATGCCAGACTGGGGTACAGAGTAGACCTTGCCTCAAAGAACTTCATTTGTTTGTTCTTTAGAAAAAACCATATTAACTAATTGGGTCAAAGAGTGAGTCCCAGCTGTCTGTGGTCTACAAGAAACTTGTTTCACTGGCAAAGAAACAGACTATGGTGAAAGAAGAGAAAATGTTCCAATCAAATGGAACCTGAGGAAAAGTAGCAGCGGCTTTACTCATACCCGAAAACTAGATTTCAGGCCAAGGTTAATCAGAAGCGATAAGGAAGTCAGAGCATGGGCTGCGGATGTAGATCAACGATGGAACACTTGCATGCTTGCCTGCTTTTCAGAAGTATACAGGCTCTGGTTTGATCCCCAATTCTCTCTCTCTCTCTCTCTCTCTCTCTCTCTCTCTCTCTCTCTCTCACACACACACATACACACACACACACACACATACACACTATCTGTCTGTCTTTCTCACGCACACAAACATGTACAGACTACATATACTACAAATAATTGTGCAAATAATTCATCACAAAGCTCTA